CACACAGTTTTTCTGTTATCACTTAATAGCCATTTTTTTTTTTAAGTTCAAAGATTCCATTTTTTCCTGGAAAGAAGATTGTATTTCAGGATTAAAAAGGAGAGGGGAGTTTGGCAAAGAAATGATTGCTGTTTCATTAAGAGGCCTAATGCAGCAACTTCACCCTTTCCAGAGGAATTTCACCAATTTTCTGCTTGCTGGATAATGATCTTACTGGGAATTAAGAAAACACAAAAAAGGTTTAAGCTGTTCCATCCACCAACTGTTCTAAAGGCTCTTAATTTAATCCAGGGAGGTACCTTTTTCACACCAAGTAATCCTGTTGGGGAACCTCTTTGTACTTAACTGTGAGCAGCTTTCATTCTTCTAAACCAACAATGAAGGATCTAAAACTGGGGGCACAGCGCTATCTAGTGGTTGAATGCATAGACCCAGAGCTTTGAATCAGGTGGCTCCCTGATGACTGTTGAGACCACCTCTGTCTGCATCTCCACCCAGAATCCGAAAAACTTAGTTGTTCTCCTCCATTGAGATATACGTTATTGTTAGGACATTTGATGAGCAGCAAATTCTTAATGACAAGAGTCTCTCCTATCTGCTTAATGACAAGGCTTTCTCTCCAATTATAGAGATAAGTCTTAACAGCTTAGGTGCAGAGTTGCTCAGGAACAGGCAATTAAGCATGGAGGATGGAGAAACCAGGCCTTCACAGTAAGATATGGTAAATTCATGGACCAAAAAACCACTTATGGACACAAAATAATGTTGAGTCTACACAGTTCTTAGAAAACAAGAATTTGGAGCATGATGATGACGGTAACGGTGGTGATAGTGGCGATGGTGATGGCTAATATTGAATGCATACTATGTGCCATGTAAGTACCTGTAATAATGTATTAAATCCACCTGCAGAAAAAATGGAAGTTCCATGACCAGGATTCTCACCCGACCCTGGTCTGCTTGCCCCCTGAACATGCACTGTGCTCGCAGGTGCAGGTTTGCACACATGTGGGCAATGACTTAATATTGACTCTGTATACCAGCTCCACCTGGTGTTCTGTGGCTGCGAGGTGGTAGAGAGGCCCAGAGGCAGAGGCTGGCTTGCTGCATGCAGACTTGCCCTGAGACATATGGAATTCTAGCACTTGACCTGCCATCTCCAGAATAAAGATGGATTTAAACACTTTTACCCACAACTTTCTATTGTCATTTCTCCATCACGGAATAATCCAGAGTGAACTGGCCCGGGGCTGAAACCCTCAGACGAGACACTACTCACATCCCTGTGAGGGTCATTTCACCGTAGAGAAAACTAAGGCAGAGAGTGGCTAAGCACTTTTTCCAGGGCCCTGCAGGTAAGTAAGAGGCAGATGTGGGACTTGACCTGAAACATTTCAAATCTGGAGCATGTGCCCTTAATAATGATGTTCAAGAAAGCACTCATTTTCAAATTTAAAAAGTCACCTCCCTCAGTAGCATACCATCTCCAGAGCCAGAACAGAGAAGAACAGTAGAGTAGCATTCAGGGTCCCACAGTCCACATTTGCAGACTTTGTTGTGACCAGGCTCTCTGGTTTCCTGTTTATCGCCCGCTTCCACGTGCACTCACAGTGCAAACTGTCCTGCTGACCAACAGAGCAGCCTTGATGTTGCGACATGGGCACATAGGCTGGTGCTGTTGGAGCCGGAAGAGGCCCTGCAGATAACTTTATTACAGTTTCTCCTCCATTTTATGGACGACAAAAGAAGACTAAGAGATAGTTATTTTGCACATTCAAATTTATTAAATTAATTTTATTAAATTATTAAATTTATTTATTATTGGAGACTTTGTGGAGGAAGGCACATGTGTGCCAGACCTTTAAGGGTAAATTAGTTTTTAACCAGTGTGGATAAAATGAGAGTTCCTGTGGCCAGGATTCTCACCTGGCCCTGGTTGACTAGCTCAATGGACACCTGTGGGCAATACATGGCTGTTGACTCTATATAAAGAGCTCTGCCCAGTGCTCTGGGCACCACACGGTGGCAGAGCTGCAAGGCTGCAGGAGAGCAGAGTGGAGGCTGGAGTGGTGGCAGTGCCGAGGACAGAGGCAGAGGCCCAGAGGACAGCTATGCGAGACGACTGTGCAGAGAGGCCTGGAGGACCGCTGTGTGGGACGGCTGTGAGGACAGAGGGCCCCGGAGGACAGCTGTGTAGGCAAACACTAGCTTGCTGCATGCAGACTCACTTTGAGTGAACAGGACTTTAGTGACTGACCTGCCACCTGGAAATAAAGTTGGGTATAACCCTTTCATCCCAAGAACGTTTTGCTGTCATTTTCTTTGGTCACACTGAATCCATAGCGAACTTGCCTAGGGCTGAAACCCATTGGCAAGACAACCAGTAAATGGGGATCAGTGTATTAATTTCTTGTGGCCCCTCTAATAAATTACCAAAAATGGGTGGCTTAAGATAACAGAAATTCATTCTCTCACTGTTCTGGAAGCTGGAAGTCAGAAATCAAGATGTCCTCAGAGCTGCACTTCTTACGGGAGCATGAAGGGAGAATCCACTCTGCCTTCTCCAGCCTCTGGAGGCTTGTGGTCCTCCCACTGCAAACCCTGCCTCTCTGGCCATATTGCCTCCTCTTCTTCTGTCTGTCAGATCTCCGTGGCTTCACTTTTATAAGGATACTTACCACTGAATTTAGGGCCCACCAGATAATTCAGGATGATCTCCTTACCTTACCTCCTTAATTACACCTAGAAAGACTTCTTCAAAATCAGGTAATATTCACAGGGCCTGAAAATTAGGATGTGGATGCATCTTTTGGGTGGTGGGGGGCACCATTCAGCCCAGCAGCCACAAGCAAGGGCAAGGGCAGCCAGAAAGCACATGGCAAGGCTTGGGGGCCAAAAGCCATGTGGCTTGGTTTCTAGTGCATCCTGAAGTCAGGCAGTCGGTTCCCCACCCTTGCTCCTCTCCTTCAGTATGTGTTGGCTATTCTTGAATTTTTACCTCTCCATATAAACTTTAGAATCAGTTTGTTAAAATCCACAAAATAGCTGGCTGGGATTTTATTAGGATTCCACTGACTCTGTAAGTTACTGTGGGAAGAAGTGCTATCTTGGCAATGCTGAGTCTTCCTACCTCATGAACGGATTAAGTTTCTGAAGGTTCAGTGGAAAGTTTGGTGTGGCCAGATTGTGCGGACCTTCCAGGTGGTGCTGAAGATGGTACAGTTTCTTCTGTGAAGAAGAAGAACTGAAGAATTGCAGGCAGAGGAGTGACAAATTCAAGATGATGCCTGAAGCATTGTGTAGGATGGCCAGGAGAGATACAAGGGAGGCTGTCGTTTGGGGAGCCTGGGAATGGTCCAGTCCCAGTGCAGTAAAGGTCTGAGTTAGAGCAGTGGCCATGGGAACTGAAGGAAGGTAGAGACTGTGGCAAGTGGAGGTTATCCTCCCGCCTGTAAAAGCAGTTATCAGCAGTGCACCCTCAAATAGGAGGGCTAGAGAGCCCCCAGTCGGCTCCACATATTTCATTCACCATTTCTGGGTGGAGCTACCTGGTCCCCTTTGTGGGGAGAACAGGGAGTGTTGCATTCAAACCTCATCTTTTTTAATCTTATGGTCGTGTGAGTGGTGATGAGGTCAGGGCAGATGCCTTTGTACACAGTAGATGAGGGGCCCCTTTTGCCACTCCACAGCTCTGGGTACCTGGCCAGTGCTTAGCAATATGCTACGTGCAGTAAGAGATGCCAAAGAAAAAAAGAAGTCATTCTTATCCTCTAAGTGTTTATTAACTAGTAACACAAATACAATAAAAGTGAAGAGGATTTGCTTTTGATGCACACTAGCAAGTCAGGTAGCCTGGAGTTAAAACTGGGGGAATGGAATCACAAAGCCCAGGACTGTGTACAGCCAGTGAAGTATACAGGGTATACAGGGTGAAAAGCTGTGTTCATTCATTAGGCAGCACAGTGTCTGGCAAGGGTAACTGCCCAGTAAAGCATGGCTACTGTAGAAATATGGGGATTTGCATAAATATGAGGAACTGCAGGGGTGGGATCCCTGGCATGGGTTTGAGCTGCACCCACAGGAGAGGCAGGCTTTGGAGGAAAGAATAAAGGAAAAAAGGATTGGTTTGTAGGTGAGGATAGCCTGACGGAAGATGCAATGCTAGGGCCGCGTGGTGTCCAGCTGTCCGTGTAAAGGTTCCTGCAAGGATCCGCAGGTCCCAAGCTGTCAGCACTCCCACCCTCTGGTAGGCTGTCCTCTCTGTACGTCCTCTCTCCGAGTGCAGTGCCTCCCACGACTCCCATTACATCTCTCCTCCACTGCCCTGCGTGCCCAACTTTCCTGAGCATTTCATCTAATAGGAGTAATAAACAGACTCTTACTGAGGTATCCATGGCTAATCCACAGGTGGGCATATATACATAAACACAAACCCACATGTGGAAATACTTTTTCATTGAATTTTTTTGCATTGATTCAAAAGTGTGACTATAATGGTAGCAATTTCACAAGTTTAGAGCATGGTATTTGAGTCAGAGCAGCCTTTGAAAACGTAAATAATCTTGGACTATATATACCTGAGGAGACTCTAGTTGCACCCACAATAATCCAATTGAGGATAAGTTATTAACATATACATACGTCAGAGATCTCTTTTCAACAAAGTACTCTTCTTAGGCTTTCAAAGTATTCCTGCATAATAGGAGACTTGAATTCTGGTGTGAGTCCTGCCTCTGGGAAACTGAAAATCCATTGCCTCGGCCCCTTGCCTTGAACTGGCAATGCTCTTCGCACCGACTCTCTCAATTCACCTATTGTATCCACTGTCCCTGGCTCCGTCCTCTTCCCTGCCCCCACAGGCCAGTTATATGGACAGAACCAAATGGTGTCCTTGCTCTCTGGCTTCCAGCAGTGTTTGGTTAATGAGAGCCTTGGCCAGGCAGCAGAGGCGGGGAGGAGAGAAAGTCCAGAGTGTCTCTTCTATGTCGCCTGCTCTTGCTTAGCAGTCATTGTAAGCAGATTCTTCCCTTTACCTATGGAAGGGAACAGCTCCGGGAGCCCCTACTGACTCTGAGTTGGAAACTGCTCTCTGCCTCACGTCTCAGGCTTTCCAGACACAGGTACTGACTACCCCTCTGGTATCCCTATGCCCTGCTCACACCTTTGAAAGAGTCCCTTTATGAAACTCTCTTCAGTTGGTGCCATTTTTACTTGCTGGGGCTGCAAGTGACATGCCAGTCATTCCCTGTCTACTCATTGGCTCACACACTTGTCTAAAGAAAACTGCTTTGTCTAAAGCCCCACTCCCTAAAAAGCCAGGTGTTGTGCTATGTGAATTTTCTGCCCACCCCAGCCACAGCTGACTGGCCCAAGTATGGTCACCTAACAAAACTCCCATTGCAGGCTAGATTGCAGCAGATGAGCCCAGCCAGTCAGATTCACCTCTTAGGAACTGAGAATTGAAGGACAGAGACAACAGGGCTTCAAGCTGCAGAAACCAACCCGCAAGTATCATGAGGCAGACTTGTGGAAATATTAGGGGTCACGTTCAAGTAAATGGTAGGAGGCAGCTGTGAGGAGAAAGGAGAGAAAATGGCAGATGTGCGGAGTGGCATAGGTAAGCTGCTCCCTGAAGCTGTGTCATTGCTCACTTAAGACGTCTCACCTCCAGGAAGCCCAGCAAGAAACTGTTCCTGAGCTTGAACTCCCATGAGATCACTGTATTGGTAAAAAACATTCCTTTCCTTGAACAAACTGAGCACCTCGTATCTGCAAGGCACTGTTCTAGGCCTATTGAAAATAGAGGTGAACAAAACAGACAAGGTCCCAGCCCTCAGGAGGCTGACAGCTTGTGGGTTAGTGGTGACAAAATGGTGTGTGAAATACACTTGACAGGATAAAAGTTAGATTACAAAGAATCTTAGAGACAGTAATGTCTCCTAGAGAATGGACACAGATGCTAAAACTATTGAGTAAAACTGTGATCAGAAATGGGATATTTATAGTGTCAAAATATGTCCTCATTAGTTACTTACTAATGAAGAAGGGAAATGTCATCATTTTACAAAAGGGAACCCTGGAAGTCACCATCTTACCAAGTGGTCCAAATCAATGTCACCATTGCCAGGATGTGGCCATTAAGTGCCTCCTGATCTGGTGCATAGAGAAGGATACAGCTTCCCTTCCATGGCAGTCCAGCCAAAAATGCAAAACCTGAGTCTAATCATCAAAGTGGAAAAAAGATGGGTTAAGTCTTCCCTGTTAAATGAGACCAAGAAAATATGATAACAAAATGCAAAGTCTGATGCTGCATTAGATCCTGTGATTTTTTTTCCTTTCTATTTGCTCAAAGGACACATGGGACACTTACTGAAGAGCAAAATGAGACCTGGAATACTTACATAAAGACATTGGACCAGAGCACACACAACCTGCTTCTCAAGTTCATAAGCTTCCCAGTCTATCCTACTGTCTCCCAAAAATGTAAGTTCGAATTCTAGTTTTTTATATTATTTCTATATGCTCATCAGCTCACCCAAAGATAATGTGCAGCCATAAAATCTTAGCAATGACTCTCCCTCTGGTTTCAGGACTCCTGATGCCTGGAGAAAATTCTGTCCTGCTACCTATTAAATGACAACCTGTCATGGAGCAAAACCTGATAAGTTGGATGAATTTCCCATTTCTGTTCAAATCCAATGTCTGATGATGTTTCAAAAATAAAAATCCAAGTGATCAATGGTTTCATTGTGGCAGTATCAGTTCCTGCTGAAAGGTCTATATTTTTGGATTTAAAAAGTATTTCAAGGGGCAGTGAATGTTTTGAAAACTCTGGGAAACTGGGAAAGAAGTTCTAGGTAACAAATGTCTATTCAGGGACTGAGTATAAAGCACTGATAGATGGCTTAGGTTTGGTGTCAGAAAAGATAAAGGAATAAAAGGAAAACCTTTAGATTGTTTGAGGCTTTCTGGTGGGCTGCTAAAGCTTAATTGAGACACAGTGAGCTGTACAAAAAGGTGTATGTTATATAATAGAAGCTTAAATGAATAGGCATCACCAATGAGTGAGAAAGAGAAATGAAAGCAACTTTTTGTACTGACAGACTTGCTGACTTTTGGAGCTTTTCTTTTTTCTCCAAGATAAAAATGTATATTTGATCTTGGTTTTGTATCTATCACTTTTATTAAATATGGGTGTCTCTCCCTCTATGATGAATTCCCAATTTCCAATATTAGAATGTCCTCAATTGCTCAACATTTGATTTCACTCTGTGTATTTTTTAATTAATTATTTCCACTCAGTAAAAGTGCTTTGCCACTTGCTGAAGCACTAGACATGTATAGTAAAAGCATGGCTCTGCTGAACATTTCATCTTTGACCTGGAAGAAGAGAATAAAGGACAGGTCCACTGAATACAGTGAAAACCCTTTTGAGTGCACAACACAAAACTGATCTAACAAAATAAACTGTGGTTGGTAAGAAGTCACTTTAAATAACCCAAGAAGTGGGAAAAAACTGAAAAGAAATGTATAATAAAGATTACTATATTGCCAAGATGAAACAAAGATAAATATTGAATAATCACCATATTAGCAAATACTGTGTGTCATGGCATAATTCTAAACACACTGTATATAAAATGTACTATACATTAGCATAATAAACTAACATGCATTAACTAATTTAATCCTCACTAAAACCTTTGAGGTAGGTACTGCTATTAGCCCCATTTAACAAATAGAAAAACTGAGGCACAGAGAGAATGAGTAACTTGACTATGTTCTCACAGACTGTGAGTATCCGGGTTAGATTTAAACCCTAGCAGTCAGGCTCCAGAGTCCATGCTCCTGCTCACATTCAATCAGCCAGTAAGTATTTCATGACTTTCATGAGTACTGTTTTCAGTGCCACCTAGACTGTATTAATCAGTTTTTGCTGTAGGAAGAGAAAACCCCATTCCTAGTGGCTTACTGCAATTACTTCTTGTCCTCTTACATAGGGCTTTGGTTTGACTATGACTTTGGTCAGCTCTGCTGGGCTGGGCTGGGCTCCATTCAGCGAAGCCCCATGTGTCTTCTCCTTGTAGTACCAGGATGAGGGAGGAGCCCCTCTCTGGGACATGCAGCGGGCAAGAATTTAAGAGCAGTAGAGAGAAGTGAAGCAGAGTACATGTTTACTGCCTCTGCTTGAACATAGCAAATGTCCAGTCTGCTCACATCCACTGGCCAAAACAAGTCACATGGCTAAGCCCAAAAATCAACTAGATGAGGCTGTCTGCTTCTCCCATGGCTCGCATGGGCTAGTCATACGAAGGAAGTGAAGGCTGAGAACAGTAATTCAGTAGCTCAAGGTCACCTCACCCTGCCCAGGTGATCTCACAATTCAATTAAGAAAATAAGTCTAGCATAAAAATAACCAGAAAACCATGCAAGATATGGGCTGTCCTTACTTTTCATGGCCCCATGTTAAATTAAACTTGTGCACATAGGAAACATGTTCCTGCTTTGCAAGATTCTATGATAACTGAGGTTTGAGCATGTAGTACCATGTAAAGAAAGGATGACTGTACTTAATAATAATACTTAATAAATACTTAATTGTGAAATGGTACTTTAGTGCAAGTTCTCCTCAGGACATTTCAAATGAAATCCAAACCATGCTCGCAAGGCCCTGAATCATCTATCTTTTGCCAACCCTCAGACTCCATCTCCATCTGTCCCCTTTTTCATACTCTAGCCCTAGGACTTTGGCACATGCTTTTCTCTGCTGAGGGCCCTTTCTCCCAGATCTTCACAAGGCTATAGGCACTGAAGTCTCTCACCTGAGAGCTGATCTCTCCAGAACTTTCCTGGGCAGTAACCTAAGTGAGCCCTCCACCACCCTATCTTTTCCAAGTCTACTATCCTGATTTGCTTTCAATATAAGCCTTTTTACCACTTGAGACTCTTATCAATATATGTGCTTACATGTTAATAGCTTATTTCTTTCATTGGAATATAAGCTCCAAAGAGCAGAGAAATTGTCTGACTTGTCATCATTCTAATCCTTATTGCCTATGTCACTGGTTGGCACATGCTGGACATGTAATAAGAATTGTCAGATAAATGAACAGATGTGGATGGGGACCAGATCATATAAGGACCTGTGATCATGTTTTGGATTTTATTGCAAATGCGCTGGGAGAACTTGCATAATTTTCTAATTATACATAGTCATATACAGGTTTCCTAATTGTCCCTTGTGCTTTCTTAATCCAGTTGTGTCATTTTTGGGGTAGAATCAACACTTCCTAAACTTGGTCACATTTTGGAATCAGCTGGGGTGGGGGACAGGGGGCAACTTTAAAAAAAATCCTGCTTCTTGGTCCCAACCCCCAACATTATGATCTAACAGGTCTAGGCTGAGGCCTGGGTACAGGAGCTTTAATGATGCCTGATATTCAACCACATTTACGACCCACTGGTTCCAGAGGCACTGAAAGTGAGTAGGGATTCCAAAATTGCTTTTAGGCTTATTGAATGTGGCTGATTTGAGCACTTAGCTTAATTTTGACAATGTCTGACACATAGTAGGTGCTCAATTAAGATTTGTGAATTGGCTTTCAAATAAATATTTAATGAACGAGTAAATGAATAAATAATTTACATACCGCTGAGGACAAAGTTGAGAGAAAGAGAATGAATTTGTATCTAATTGTTTTGTGTTTCCTCCTCTCTTCCCTTGACTTCTCAAATGCCACACACCTTAAAATTTCAATAGCTAATCTCACCCCACAGCTGTGCCACGTCATTAAAAAGTGGAAATTGAAATTCTAGAGCAACCAAGTCTTCCAAATCTACTATATTTTCATGCCAATTTCCAGGAATAAACCAGTGGAAAATTAAGCAGAGTAGCCCGGAAATGGGGACTAGCCTGGGGCTGGTCCCTAGAAAAGCTGTCTCAACCAGTCTACATCTTTGAACACACATTTTGCCCTTTTGATGGGGCAAAAGCTGAATTCCTTCATTCCAGATGCCAGGATAAGCAACACCAAGAATAGTCATGGCACAGAGCTGCATAGCAGGTATCCTGATCAAGATGAGAGTTCAGAAAGCAATAGAAACAAAAGAGATCAAGGCAGTAGAAGAAACAGGTGTCTCCTTTCCCTGGCTGGGAGGAGTCTTTGAGGGCTCTCATTTGAAACACACTGCAGGGCACAACTGCTTACAGATGGCTGCCTGGGTCTGTGACAGGGTTTTTGAGGTTCACCTAAGTGAAGACAGGCTCATTTCTGTCTTGGAAAAAGACAAGGATGTAACATGCTGTCAAAATTTCAAAGAATCCAGAAGTGTTTCAACTGAAATCTGGCTTTTTCTCCTCCTCCCCTCCTCTGTTGCTCTTGTAGGGAGGCACACTTGCTACCAGCGCCTTCTACAGAAGCCAAGGAAAAGAACAAAACCTGAATTACTCATGGTTGTTTGTGAGAACCCTAGGAAAAGACCTGGGGCCTTTGTCCAAAATGGCACTTGAGAATATCATGTACTCATGTCTTCCCCTAGCTACTAATGTATCTTCTTACTCCCTGGGTAGAACATTATGACTCAAATTACAACATGAAATGGTCAGACCCATGGTCCAGCTTTCCCAAGAAAGGATCCGTGTAAAGGAACATGGAAGATGTCCTACTTATAACCTTTCTTCCTGAATGCCTAACCACTCTGTGATGCTGTGAATCAATCCTCTAAGATCTATGTTTGCTATCTTTAAATCTTTTTAGAACTTACTATTTTCAGTAAATTATCTTCAACATGTGTACTCTTTGAAGAACTAGTTCCACAGATTTGTTTCTTTCCCTATCTCACTTCTGTAATCAGATGAAACTTGGGACACTGGATTAATTAACAGGACATAGTCCTAATAACAGTGAAACCCAATATAACAGGAGGTACTTGTAGCCACTGCATAGGGTAGATCATGCATCTCACCTTAAGACTAAGTATTTCCTTCATTTGAAATAGCTGAGCTCCTAAACATGGCACTTACACAAAGTATATAATTTGTCATGAGTTTTCAATATGAAAACTGTTTCTCTCAACAACTGAGGTATATAGAACAAATGTTTTCATCCAACGTGAGTATCAAAAGGTTATGCAAAGATGCAGGGAAGAGACAAGTGTGAGAGAAGCATGGTAAAGTGGGAAATTAGCAAATCTAAATTTCAGCACACACTTTACACTCAGCATCAAAACTTGATCCCATAACTTGGTAAATATATGGCATTTTATTAAATGTTAAGTAGTAAGCCTCCAATGGTGGAGGCTCAAGAATCTGACATTTTTAAGCTTTCCTTATCACCTACCATGGCCAGCGTCAACTTCTCTTTACAGGCCCAAAGCATCCCAGGCAAATCCCTGCTTCATAAATACTAGCCAGGGCTTTGGGGCCAAAGTTCAGTATGACATCTACCCAGTAAGCTGCCTAGGCATGGAGGCATGTGGGGCCAGTTCTCCTAGACTGGAAGCAGAGGTGGGCCTCAGCAGTCTACCCCTTGCCCACTTCTCCAGGCCCACCCCAGTTCTTCAGCTTTCCAAAGGTAGGATCATCTAACTACCCTGGAATGCATACTAAGGACGGGAATGCCATGAAAGCATTTACTTAACAGTAAACCTTAAAATTCCTCATCATAAGAAAAGAAATGTGTAACTATGTGTGGTGGTGGATGTTA